CTCTCTCCCCTGTTTTTTCCGATCTACTCAACCAGTGCTTTACTCAGTATTGCATTCCGGACTGCTGGAGGGTGGCTTCTATCACGCCAGTGTCGTAAAAGAGAAAGTCTAAATTTCGCTCAGTTACTTGCATGTCTGTTAGTTTTAAAGTTCTAGAAAAGATTTGATTACGGAAGATGTTTTCCGAGCTCTATCCATCTGATTTAACTCAATGCGCTGGCGTCCCCCATTCACCATGTTACCTGGTCTTTGAACTGAAAACGTAAAACGATTCGGCGGTGTTTCTTTGACCATAGTGACACCTTCAATGGTGTTGACAGGATAAAACTTTGAGTGAAGTCATAAGCCACCAATTCGTTTTATTCATCCTAATTGATGAATTTCCTACCCGGTGCTCATCAGGGTCTTTGATCATGGGAACTAAAGAAACACAAACGTTGAATCTTCGAAAAGTAGAGTCGAAATGTGACGTCCACTTGAATCATTGGCAGAACGTACTGGACATTCAGCAGCAAGCAACCTATCTATTTTGTATTTATTTTACCCACCGCCCAAGGTTTACTATTTGTTGGGATCACAGTTCCTAGTTTAAAATCTTTACTCGAGGTCTTCAATATAATATTCTGTATTCCTTCCTGTTATCCACCCATATTTCTATCCTGTCTGCTGTGTAGGAATATTTGCTCCTTAAAGTAGTCAGAAATTGTTGTTTATGGCATGAAGTTGCCCAATTCTTTCATGTACCCTAAAGGCAAGAATAACCCTCCACTGCTCACGGACTGATCTTCACATTGTCACACATGTCTTCTGTAGTACCGTAATCCGCACTGTTCCTTAACGATCCCGGAGCGGCAAACTGAAACTTGACTGAATAGGCTTGATCATTTATGTGTGTAGAATTTGTTGTCTCGTCCTTCCTACTTTTACTGCAAAAGTGTGGATACGTAAAAGCTGAGTATTTACCCCCACGGGGCGAATTGAAACAGTTTGTTGCCTTGACTGAAAATTCACTAAGGTCCTGAAATCGAATGCTCATCTACTCTCATGTGACAATTAACTAGGTTCGGACTGTTCCTATCGAGTCCTACCCAAAGAGACAAGTAATGCAATGAGCTAAGTTTGGTGCCCGTAACGAGCTTATAAAGACTGATTATGCCATGTTATGTATGGTCAAAATTTAAGAAATCTGGTTTGCGCAGGTACCAGTATGTTTGCATTCCACTTGTGATGCCTCGGGTTTGAATCTCGGTTCGGTCGATGAATTTTTGCTTCTGATATGAACCAACCAGGTCAAAACAGCGGTACAGTGAGTGCCTTCCCAGTTTTATAGTTCATGTATCATATGCACGTACGTAAAAACGGTATCAGTGAACCCTTCTAAAAGAGATTTTCAAAAGTATTAATATCGATAGTTTACGCCGCCGAAATGAAAAATATTCCTTCATTTTACCCAGTTATTGCTCGAAGACTTGAAGATCGACTGCCACTCTCAACCGGTTCCACGTGTGCCTGTCAATTCACTTGCTTCTTCAGAGCCCGTTACATCAGTTGTACCAGTCGGCAGTTGACCAAACGGATTCCAGAGCATCATCCGGTTTGGTTGAGAAAGGGCTTACAAAGGTTATTCTTAGCTCAACTGTGGATCATCCGATCAACACGAGTCGACCGGTACATATCAGAAGATCATTAAAAATCAGCGATCGAGCCCCGATATGCCTGCAAATTATGCTTTAATCAGCCGAAGCGGTAGCCATTCGGATCCACCTCTCCGAACTGTGAAGCAAAAGCGGATTGCTTACATAATGAGGTTACTGTGGCCCGGTGCTATTACGCAAACAGCCATTGTTCAGAAAATCAGATGATGACTGAAGGATCACATTATGTAACCAGTTTAATCGAAAGATCACAAATCTGTATCCCTTTCCTCCCACCCACGTTTTTTTTTCATAGTCACGCTATCGGTCATGGAGCAATACGATACATTCTAATTTTCACAGAGATTTGTCTATTATGCCCCGCTGTATATGATGATATTCTCTTCAAGTGTGAATCATTGCGGCTGCGCGGCGTATTTCGTCATTTGAATATCCCTCTCACTTCAAATGTTCTTCATTATACTCCGCAAAATACATTTCCACTTAGGATATCTTAATTTGGATAGGCAAATCAGAAAACAAACACTGCGAGAGGATTTCCTTTGGTATACTCTCATCGGTTGCCTACTTATTACATTGAAGTATATTGACAAAAATGAGGTGGATTTAGGTTTTTTTGGGTTTACGGAGGTGTGTGTACTTTTCAGGATTGTTTAAAACAACGGAAGGCCAAGGGTAAAGTTCGTACGCTTTTAGACATATAAGATAGGCTTGTTGTGATTGATGATGTCTCGAGTATCCTAAGTTGGTGTTTATCCCGAAGACCGAGAACTGGAAAATACCCGTGGATTGCATCAAGAAGTCAATTTGGCAAACAAGCTCGTTTTCGGTGCCTCATTTACTATACAAATACAGCGCTCTTTTATAGGTCACAAAATCACATAATTCAAGGAAACAGAATAAGCGTAAATAATGTCTGTGCTTGTATACGTATGTATGAATACTATGGATAAAATAACAAGGGGTGTATGAGAGTTTAAATGATTCTGCAAATTTCGTTTGTACTGTCGAAGAAATCAAATATATAAACGATTTCACATTCATTTGATAACTGGCTTTATGTCACTGTAGCGTTTGCGGCTGGCCATGTTAAATCCAGAGGTCTGATCGAACCGAGAACGCGTTCACCGTGTGCCCGCTTTCAAACAAGTGGCGTGCAATCGCTGAGAGCGATCTACCTGATAACCCCCAATAC